ACACACACACTGATACACAATCACACACACACACACAATCACACACACACACATACACAATCACACACACACACACAAGCACACACAATCACACACACACAATCACACACACACAATCACACACACATACACAATCACACACACATACACACAATCACACACACACAGAATGCAGTGTACTAAACCTGGCTGATTGCACTTCATGTTTGAAACCTTCGTTCTCGTTCAAGCTGCCCCATCTCTACTTCAAAAGCTCAAAGTCTGGGGCCCCAAGCTTCACAGCCCCAAAGGCAGATGCCATGCTTGGCAGGCTAAAGGATCTGCCAGCGTTGCGCACATGGGTCGCACCGTGCAAGCCGAAAATTGCATTTGTCTAAAGCAACACTCGTATCTTTGGCAGCAGCAAGCGACATGCAGCATCACCTTGGAGCCTTTCACCTTCAATCAATCCTCCCTGCGCAGTTCCGCCTCACGGCTGCTCTGTGGCGGCACGCAGGGGCCTTGGCACGATTGGCTTCTAAACATGATGTGGTTCATGCTTCACGCTACAGATCACTGGTTCTGGCCACTCAAAACCGCGGCCTCATGCTTCATAACATGGAGCTGTGCGAATTATTTGACTAAGACACAAGGATTGAACATTTGTTCTTGTGCCAGTCGTAAACTTCAAAGACACAACGTATACAAACAACATATATATATATATATATACTGTGTCGATATACCAACCTCATCAATTCATGGCCATCACCTGATTTGAGCATGTCCATGCCGACACGCAGATAACTCGTTCACAAGGCATCCTAACTTCAAAGTGGGTGTGCTGTCTAGCCCTTTCTAAGTCCACACTTCCTTGTGCAAACTGGAACAGTATGACCATAACATCATGTTGTGTGCGAAGCAAACGGTCAATTTCTTGGCCACGTGTAGTGATATATGACTGATACAAGCGGTATGGAGTGCTGTTCACATCACATATCTGGTTTTCACCTCTTGTGTCAGCTTGTAGGTATACGTGTTGCAAACAATACGTCAGCACAAGAGCATGCAAACATACTCCTGTCGCCCGAGTCTGCAGACTCTGGCCAAAGGCGGGTCGAAGTGTTGTTTCTGATTGAAGGCCCAGGACTTCCTTGTGGAAGTTGCCCGATCTACTGGACCAATAGACCAACAACCATCTGCTTCCTGGCTCTCTCTCTCTCTCTCTCTCTCTCTCTCTCTCTCTCTGATTCCAGATCAATGAGCAAACGCCACGGGCAGCTGCTTGTGAACCAGGATCCTTACCAAACATACCCGCGACTACCTGCATCTTTGCAGCGGGTGTGAGCATTGCCCTCTGCTTTTTTCGTTGCAAACACGGCAAGCTCTGGAGCTTGTTGCTTGCAATACGCTATAGAATTGCAATAGCGATTGCTTTTTTCGAGTCGAAACTTTCACCTCAGATGCCGACAACTGTACCAAGAGCTGTCCGCATTGCCATCATTGCGCCTGCGGTGCTCTGGCACTTGGCAACCCCCCAACATTGCAACTTGTCACACCATCCATAGAACCTTCCTCGAGCAAGGCCGCAGCACCTGAACACTATATCGTTAAAACATCAATATCGGTTTGTGCGAACAACCCACAAAGAAATGCCATGATTCGGGTAGTTCAATGACAAACGCTGCTTAGGATCACTGCTGCCTGCGGCAATTCTCTGACAAACATCCCCTACCATAGTTGTCACTGGCATCCGTCTCTCAAGGAAGGCAACTTGCCCGCGGCTTGTTCCTTCTCTATGCATCACAGAATGGTTGGCATGAAAATGTGACTTGCTCAAAGCGAGCTGCAAGACCTTCCTAACGCATGCCACCCCTATGCAAAATGCCTTCCTGGACAAGGCAAGGGCTCGCCAAAACGGACCGACGATTGGGAAAGGATGACTAGCTACTAACAAACAAAGCGCCCTATAGCACCGTGACGCATGTGGAGCGGGGCTTGTCAACACCACGCTCCCCCGCAAAGTCTCATTGAAGGGAGACACAATGGACCCATCGTCTCAGAAGAACCCGGCCTCCATTTGGCTGTGGGTGAAAACCCTGTACCCCTGGTCAACATGGCCATTTCAACACCAATAATTGCCTTTCAGAAGCTTTGCGCTAGTTTCTGGTCGGCAAGCTTCAAACTCCCTGCCAGTCCCCACGCCCACCTTGCGACAGCACCTCTCTCTGTCGCTGGCCAATGATTCTGAGCCAAGCCAGGCGGCAGTGCCACCCGATGGGCAAAAAGAGCCAAACTTGGCTCCAGACATGTCGAGGGAATGTGTGGGAAGAAATCAAGTATCTGCTCTTCTGTTTCTTTTTGTCAAGAAAGAAAAACGTTGGTTGGAAAATGTCAAGGTTCTTCTGGTTCCAAAACATGATCCCTATTGACAGCCGACACACACACACACATGATATTCATGCTGAGTGCCAAAAGTGAGTTCCCTTCACATGCGGTCAATCATAGCGATAAGTGGTGACGTTCTCAAATTCAAGCCTAGGGCTTCTGGTGATAACAGCTGCAAACCGGCAGCCGGCTTCAAGTCAATAACACAGGTAGCAGATAAGCCCGTGGCAAGATCATTCTACTTTGAGGCTACATATGTTTCACTGGAGCAAACAAAGTGCAAACATCTTCGGCCTACACATGTTCAGGGCATCTTGACCGATGGGTTGCGCGCCTGTGAGCACATCAAATGCTCCCTGGAACATTGAGAATCATGACTAGTATCAGGATCGGGGGAAAATTTGAATGGAGTGGCGGAGAGCTTTCAAAATGAATCTTAACATCCAACCCTTGGTTGCAGCCTATCAGTTTTTCATGCTGGCTGGGCATGCAATGCACTGGCACGCCGCATTTGCGAGCGCAATCAGCCATTGATTGTGAGACCTGTGATACCCTTTCGCAGCCAAGGCGGAGCTATGGCACGTGCAAGATCAACTACTGACTAGGCTTAGAAATGTATCATCATGCATCATCACTTTGGATTGCTCTGAATGATCCATGCCGCATCTTCGGAGCAGTGTGCCGACGCGCGCCCAGCCCGCGTGGAAACAGCCCCGCTCCTCTCCTTCGGCAACTTGCACCTGCCATGTTCACTGCCAAACGCGCCGCAAAGTTGGCGAGTGGCCTTCACACTGACTCCCAAGAGCTCAGGACTGCTTGCGCGCTTGGCGTGTTTGTATGTGTTTATGCTCCTCTCGGTGCTTGCATCTTGGCCCTCTTCGGTGACAAAAACCTTCACGTCGGGCCATGCACACAATCCGCCGACCCCATGCCTGGTCCAGAATGGACCATGCTTTCGGCATGGGGGCGGTGTGTTCTGTGTTGCTTTTGTTGATATGCTTTCTATACCTTTAATGTGAATATGATTATGTATATATATATAACCTATATGTCCCTTGGGGCGGCCCTTGGGGCTGGTTTCTACGTCGGCTGGATTTCTGAATTTCTGGATTTCTGGATCTCTGGATCTCTGGATTTCTGGATCTCTGGATTTCTGGAATTCTGGATTTCCCCCCCCCTCCCGCCCCCCCGCCCCCCCCCCTCCCCCCTCCCCCCCCCCTCCCCCCCCCCCCCTCCCCCCTCCCTCTTCTCTTCTTCCCGTAGTCTTCCGTAGTCTTCCGTAGTCTTCCGGCTTCTTCCCGTAATCTTCCGTAATCTTTCGGCTTCTTCCAGTACTCTTTTCGTAGTCTTCCGGCTTCTTCCCGTAGTCTTCCGTAGTCTTCCGTAGTCTTCCGTAGTCTTCCGGCTTCTTCCCGTAGTCTTCCGAAATCTTTCAAGCTTCTTCCCGTAAATTTCCGCAATCTTTCGGCTTCTTCCCGTAGTCTTCCGTAATCTTCCGGCTTCTTCTCCTAGTCTTCCGATACTGTTTCGGGACCAAACAACGCGCGTGTCCTGTGCTTTCGGGCTTCTTCCCTAGGCTTCGGGTAGTCTTCCCCCACCCCTCCGCCCCCCCCTGTGTCTGTCTATGTCTGTCTACGTATCTGCATCTGTCTTCGTGTCCGCGAAGACCCCCCCTGCCCCTGCGTGTCTGTCTGTGTCTCTTTGTGTCTGTCTGGGTCTGTCTGCGTCTGTCTTCGTGTCCGCGAAGACCCCTTGCGTGTCTGTCTCTGTCTCTTTGTGTCTGTCTGTGTCTGTCTGTGTCTGTCTACGTATCTGCGTCTTTCTTCGTGTCCCCCCCCCCGCGTGTCTGTCTGTGTATTTGTGTCTGTCTGGCTCTGTCTGCGTCTGCCTGCGCATCTGCGTCTGTCTTCGTGTCCGCGAAGACCCCCCCTGCCCCTGCGTGTCTGTCTGTGTCTCTTTGTGTCTGTCTGGGTCTGTCTGCGTCTGTCTTCGTGTCCGCGAAGACCCCTTGCGTGTCTGTCTCTGTCTCTTTGTGTCTGTCTGTGTCTGTCTGTGTCTGTCTACGTATCTGCGTCTTTCTTCGTGTCCCCCCCCCCCGCGTGTCTGTCTGTGTCTGTCTGGCTCTGTCTGCGTCTGCCTGCGCATCTGCGTCTGTCTTCGTGTCCGCGAAGACCCTCCCCCCCCGCTGCGTGTCTGTCTGCGTGTCTTTGTGTCTGTCTGTGTCTGTCTACATATCGCGTGCTTTCTCTCGTCCCGGGCCGAAATTCTAAGGTGTGTGGGGGCGGCGGAACCAGGCCGCAGGCCATTAAATATGAACGTTACAGTTGTTCAGCGGTCAAGTAGATCGTGCGTTGCTCTAGCTGATCGGCTGCTTCACAGGTAGAACAGATCTCCTTTCAATGGACCTGCGTTCTCGTCGACTCCCTTTTGGCTCCGAAATGATGGCAAGTCCTGAATCAATAGTGGGCTGCAAAACACGTCACTGCTTCCCGACCAAAGCCACGATGTTGTCTGTGGAACAAGGGGGGAAGAAAGGAAACCCATTCGCTTGCTGCAGAGAAAGAAAATAGCCGACAAGAAATGGAAAAACTTGGATGAACGACTGAATCGCTTCGAAATCGAGGCATCCGGCCTCACTTGGGCTGGCGGGGCTCGTGCTCCCTCTCGCCGTCCAGCAACGCAGACATCTGGGTGGCCAAGGGCATAGAGAACTTGCTGTGCCATGCACATGAAAGCTTGACAAGAATCTAGGGGTTGAGTCCCCATTCTTTTCAGCCATTGTTCTTTCCATTTCCCCAGGGTTTTGGGTGGTTCTCTGGAAAGAAGGATCCCTGGAAAGAATGGGGAAGCTACCCCCAGAAAGAAGACCTCATTACCCAACGCACCTGCAGGCTACAAATCCTGTCAATCTTCCATCAAGTTTTCCATGTTTCCTGCTGAAACCACATTTACACCCCTAGATGTCAACTCTTGGCACTCATGCTGGCGAAGCTGACCAAGCACGTTCAATCGCACGACAAAGCTGGCAAACATCGTTTAAAAACCAATCAAGTGTGCAGCCAAACTCATCACCTACATTGACATTGTCCTACAACTCTAGACGCCAATGGTAAATATGCTCTTACGAGGCGAAACAACTAGCAAGGCGCTGTTGTTTGTGCTTTTCGACGGCGTGTTTCTGTGGCACGATTGTCTTTGACAAAACGCCACACCGTGCATTATGTTGATGTGAACCAGATTTGAGCAAACCAGTGCTTGCCTCCGACGCCCCGGGCAGTGAAATGCGTTGGCAAGTTTCTGAGGAATATCAGTTTCCTGTCTGTAGTTGTAGATAGATCAACGCAATGCATTGTACACTACTTGCACGCCTACGCGGAAGCCTCCGCGAGCCTACGCCGCTGCAAGGGTGCCGACGCGGGGTACGCGGACGCCTTCGGGCAAAAGTTCAGGTGTCAAGTGTACTACGCGAAGTACACGTTGGCAGCTCCAGCTCAAAGATCCAGGGCATAGGGTTGTAATCGAACTCGATAAATGCTTAAGGATCTGACTGCTAGAAAAGGCATAGTAGGTACAGAAAATGTCCTGAAAGCCTACGCGAATGCCTACGCAGGGCCTTCGGCGAAGATTGTAGAAATCAAAAGCGAAAACAATTTTACGCGGGACACCGCATGGAACCACGATTCATTCACGAGCCTACGCGAGAAGCCTACGCCAGGGGTGAAACAATGGCAATACGCGAAAAGCCTGCAGGAGCCTACCCCCCAACCAGGATGGCCTCCTCAAACTGCATGCAGTTCCCTTGTCGTATAAACCCTTTCATTCGAGTAAAAACTGCTGCTCACATGCAAATTAGTGCCTTAAGCGAGTTGAGTGCCATCTTGACGAGTTGTTGGATCAAAGGCCGGCATAAAGCCAAGCGCAAACGTGCTTGCGCCCGCATTCCAGCCTGGAGTTCAACAAAGTGGATTCCCCGTTGGCCGCGTTCTAGAATGCGAAAACCGCCGCATGAGTCAAATCCTGACCCCTCCCAATTCTGTCAATTCTCCGGACTGGGGAAATGCAAGCAGTCTGAAACCGGCTGACTCTGCAGATCAAACAACGTTTGGAGAAGAGGAATGGCCATGGGTCAAAACCCAAATCGTACCCCCAGTGAACATTCCAATCCCCACAAAAATAGACTAAAACGGGTGGTGCACCTACCCCAAAATGGTACCATTGGTTTTGACCCACGGCCAAATGTGTTTCTTGCCGGCATAAATTTCATGTGGTAGAAAAAAACAAATACTCGCAGCACGTCTGGCCAGTGCTGGCAGCCTCGTCCGCTCGATCTTTCGGCACTTGGGGTCGGGCTCCCGCGATGGCCTGGCTGTACATGTCCATGCTGCCGTTGTAGAAGCGCGGGTTGTAGTTCTCGGATAGGCTTCCAAGAAACACATCGCTGTGGGTCAAAACCAATGGGATCCCATTTTGGGGCAGGTGCACCACCCATTCTAGTCTATTTTAGTGCGCATTGGGATGTTCACTCTAAATACGGGGTGGCCACATCCGAAACGCAGGGCCTATCCCGGATGAGAGCAGTTTCAGGGGCATGACTCCAGCATGTTCTGCTCAAGGACGTGTGAACAACACTTGGGCCGCCTGAATGTGGTATGGTTGGTTGCATTAGTGCACCGGAGATTCTGTGTATAACCTATTGAGGAGAGCAAACTGACAGACAGCAAGGCTCTAACAATTAAATGCTTTCTGGGGCCTTTTGGCCCAATCCCTTTGTTTTCATAGGAAGTGCGCTAAGGTAAGTACAATACGCCACACGGTGGATGACACGAAGCCAGTTCGTTTCGTTTGCTTTCGCTGGCAAGGAACGGCAACGCTTCCCGTACGTCTTGTCTTAGCCACGAAAAGCATTCGAGCCCAGCGGTGCAAACATGTCAGCCTCAAAAGAAACTTATCAGCAATGAGGGACATATGTCCGTTGCTGAGTGCCAAAGACGTCAAGTCGTGCAAATATCAAACGGACAAAGTCTGCAAACACATGCTCCCAGGGTCTTCGAGGCTCAGCTGATGGATCATGGTTGCCATAGTTGATGATCGTGCTTCAAAGTTGTTGAAACCCAAGCTAAAGGCGGCCACGGAGAATATCTCCATACGTCTCTATGTGACGGCACCCGGTGATCCGCTCACCCGGACCTTCGAACCCCCTTACTTTCTATTTATCTTTCTGGGATACCTCAATTTGTCCGAGTCCGCCGACGGGGAGATGCCGAAAAAATGCAAAAACGACCAAGAACACTTTCCGCTTGCTCTCCGGCGTGTTTGCCCGCCAAGCAAATGGCTGCCCCAGGAAATGCTCTGAGCATCCCCACGGCTGTCCCCAATGCAGCTGGGCCCTCCTTCTCGTGAACCTGCAGGTACCATTCGCCTCGGAAGAAATGAGTGTAAGCCAACCAGTCAGTCAGCCAGCCAGCAAACCACAGAACAGATCATAAGAACAAGCTATAACCTACCATTCAACCAACCAAACAAATAAGCCGAATCAAAACAAAAGAAACCAAACCATACCAAGAACCAACGAAGCAAGCAACCAACCCACGTGGAAATTTGGACTTACACATCCAGTCACGGGCCACACTCTAAGTGCACCAAGATACCGTACCCAAAACACTGGCAATAAAATAGTTTGTTTCATGGACTTGCCAACCCGAAATGATGATTCCCAAGCAAGGGGCCTGTGCTATCAATTGTTGGTCCTTTTGCCCCTGTCTGAGGGCGATTCGGCTCTCCTAGAACTCCACAGCAGGATGACATCAGGATCACATCCCATACCGTGGGTTTGTTCGACCTCTGGGTAAGTTCACTTGAGTCTCATCAGGTTACAAAGAGATGAGTGGCACTGCACATCCGACTCAGCAGCTACGGAGTATGGTCCAGGTCTCTGCCATCACAAGCTCTTGCACAGCCATGAATTGGGCTGTGAATTGGGAACCATGAGACACAGCCAGGAGCTTCCCTGTATGCTTCCCACAACACGTTGAGTCGCCAAATCCAAGGCAAAACACCTGCGGCTCAGTCGAACATCTCTGCGTCGGCTTCAAGCCATGTCTGTAAGCTTGGGCGCTGACGATCCACGTGGGACTGGCTAGGTGACCTGCGCGAGTTGGTGGCCAGGCGCCGGCAAAAACTCGAACTGAAAGGTGGTCGGAAGCAAGAACGCACCAAGCTTCTTATGTCCTCTACTTCCTCAAGCTGCTCTCATGAGAGACAAATTCACAAGCCATGGACCGCAAAAACATTGCTATGTGAAGACATACCCCATTGAAACTGTTGCCTTGCGCTGGATCGCTGAAGCGTGCGCAACACAACCACGATGGGGTAACACACTCTTGAATTGCTGCAAGCTACTGACGAACCCCCCCTCCTGTGAACGGCTTGTGGAGCCTCATCCACAATCTTCAGAAGGGTGGCAACGCTTCCGGCCTGTGTTTGTATGTACCTACGTACACACACACACATGCATACGTTCCAAGCAACGATACCTGGCCATGCGTACGGCCCAAATCCATATATATATATATTAGTTGGACTGTGTGGCTTCACTTGGACGCAAGCTCCATGGAAAAGGCTGGGGGCCACAAAATCACCCGCGCAATACCATGCTCGGATATATAAGCTCATCCAAGAGCTCAGTCAAAAATATGCGGCCTCCTTCTCGTAGCAACACCTTGACTCAGCTCGATTCTTTCTCTGACACCTCATGGTGGCAGAAACTGAGTTTGGGGTATGGCCTTCCAATCGACATCCTTAAACACATTTGGCTGTGGGTCAAAAATAGGTACCCGTTTTGGGAACCCTGGTAAATGGCACCAAAGACTAAAACCTGCGTTTTTTGTTTTTTTAGGGTGGTTTAATTATGCCCCATACCCACCTTGTTGTCCAGTCGACGCCCTTGGACTTGCGACCTGCCTGAGGAAGGCTTGGCGTCGGCGCATGGCCAGCGCCCCGGGCTTGCCACCGCCCACCCGCAGGGAGTCTGCCTCAGCGTGTTCGGAGGCGCTGCGGTCGACGAAAAGTCGCCTTCAAATGTACATGAAATAAGAGCTAGGCCGTGAGACCAACCAGCTGCTCACACAAATTTGAATCTTTCCTCAAGTGACCAGCCTCCTTTGCTTTCCCTTCAAAGCAAGCCTCGGCCAGCCTGGGTGTCTTTTTCCAACAAACCATTGTCCAACCCCGCGTGCAATCAACCACAGGCCACAGCTTGCAGCGATGAACGGAGAGCGCGCGATGCACGGTGCCCAATCTCTGCGACGATGTTCCCCAACCCAAGCAATGGATGTGCTTCAGGACTGGTGGTTCCATGACGACATCAATCAAACAAAACTGCTCAGGTTGATGTGGAATGGCGTCTGGACACGGGGAGGCATGTGCATATCACATAGCCAATGTCAAGATAAGAAGCCTTCTCAAAGCAGGTGGTTTCTGTACGTCTACTCGCAATTGCCTTCCAAATTCCATGGAAGCAGTTCTTCAGTGAGTTTTACACTGGATCTATTTGTTTGTTTGCTAAGTTCATCCGTCGATGCACAAAAAGTATGCTTGCAATCACTGAAAATGGAAAACCGGGGCCCCTAGCCAATGTGCCAAGTGGCGCAAAAATAAAGCAAAGCTGATGAGCAGAGGGTACAAGTGAACACCATTCTTCCCCCGTAGGCCTAGGCATCGGGGATTGCCCTTGCTTCATTTAGGCGCGGGCAGTTGGGAGGCGGCCGCTGGACGCGGAGCGTGCTGGCCTGAACAAAAAAATGGCGAGGCAACGGGGGGGGGCCCATGGATAGCTCAAGCAAAGCTTTGCAAGTGGCCAGGCCCTTCCCACTTTGGCACCAGCCCGTGGAAACGAAGTTGACCCCTAAAGCATGTCCACCATTCACGCCAGCGCTTGCCTTGGGTGGCACAATGCAAGCAGGCAGGTTCGTAGCTTCGTTTCCACAAGGGCGATGGGGGAGTGTTCTGCTGCGAATATGGGGAGGACCTTGCGACTGCTGCTAAGGACTGCGAAAGGAAATTGAGGGCTCACCCTATATCATCCTATAGTTTGCGAACGCGCCTTCGAAACGCAGCATTGGAAGAATGTCGGGGGACACCTCAACAAGTGGACCGTGCACACATATTCCTGCTCTCCCAGAACAACATTGGACAACTGCGCGGTTAATCACAGTTTGTGGCGACATCTGTATGTCCTTCAAAAAAGGACAAACCACCGTTGCTTACGTCAATGCGACCTCTGATTTCCACCATGAAAGCAACAGTGAATTCTGCCCACGCAACACGCACATTAGCGACTCTCTCTCTCTCGCTCTCTCTCTCTCTCTCTCTCGCTGTCTCTCTCTCTCTCCCTCTCTCTCTCTGCACTCAGGTTTTTCACACGTGCTCAATTTGCCACAACTTTGACGTGAGACCATGTTCCGGATTCTTGGCAAGGGGTAAGCGATGCCTCGCAAAACCGATGAGAAGGAAATGTCCAGCTGGCATTTATGTTGTTGCAGGCTGAAAACAGCCGTTTGCTGTTGTTCTCCACGAGAGTGCTCGAGTGTGGTTGTTGTGGCCCGCTTTCCCACGTGCCCCATTCGGCCAAACGCTGAGTGCCCCCGCTCTGATGCCAAGCTCCCCGTGCTTTTGGACTGGGCCGAAACAGTGCGCGGGTAAGAGAGTCCAGAAACTTCTTGAGCTTCCGAAACAAGAACCTCTGTATTTTCCTTTGGGCCGTGAAAACTATCCCTGGCACATATATATATATATATGTACATATACATATATATGTATATACATATATACATATATACATATGTATATTATATATATATATATACATAATTCAGACCTCCTACGGCATGATCCCTGGGAGGTGCTGTCCCACCTCCGAGTTGAAGCTTGGGATTCAAAGCTTCCGTGGCCCTCGATGCCAACTTCGCTATTCGATCGGCTGGCCAAATAAAAGCCGCAACATGTGAGAGTTGCAAAATTCAGAGGGTCCTATCGATTGAGTTGTTGCACACTTGTGCGAAAAGCGGGGCGACTCTTATGAAAACAAGCCTCACAAGTGGAAGTCGTCGCAGAGCGCCAGCGAGATAAGATTTGCGGTTTTCGCAAGTATGCCAGGTGACCTCTTTGTGTGGCTTCAGGTTCGCACCTTTAGCGAACTTGGACAAAGGATCACAACTGCACCTGTTGGAAACACGGAAAATTGTCCATATCCTTGTACAAATATTGGAGAGCACGTGTTCCAAGAACAGGGGGGGCTTGTCCATATCACACAACAAACATTATGCAGTGAGTATTGCCCGATTCAAATCGGAGTACGAGTCCTTTCAATGGAAATGCTCGGAGAGGTTCAACACCTTTGTCAGCGGAGGGTGAAGAGTAAAATGACGGGGCGAAGCAACAGAGGGGGTTCTCAATCATTGGGCATGGTGGACGTGTTAGCACCCTGCAATTGGAGGTATTGTTTTCATTTTTGGAAGAAGGGAGCCGCAGAAATGATCGTTGCACGTTTGTACCTGAAATGGGAAGGCTTCTTCCTGCAGGCCCTTTTGGGCATCTGTTTCTACGTTTCCAGACCAAAGGGCTTCAAACCGATGGGCCTTTATCTAAGGTCCAAGAGATTTGGCTGTGGGTCAAAAATCGGTACCCCAAATGGAACCCTGGAAGTGGAAACATGGACCAAAACCTGCGGTTCCCTGGTTTAATTTTGACCCATACCCATATTTACTATGCGCGTGTGATAGCCGACCCCGCCTTGTGGCTGACGGTGGTGCTGGGCAGCGTGAAGCAGCTTCGAGAGTCTTCGCTCTCCGTCCTGGCAAAGGGCAGACTGCAGCCTCTTGCTTTGGGAATATGGGTGTGGCTCAACATTAAACAGGAGGGGTTACGCAGGTTTTGGTCCATGTTTCCACTTAGCAGGGTTCCATTTTGGTACCGGTTTTTTGAGCCACTGCCATATGGGAACAACCCCTTCCAACCGCGCATTGGATCACACACGTATGTCAACCTACAAAATGTCTGCCTGGAAACAGCGGACATTGCGTGCTCACTAGTCACGGGGATGATCTATACAGGCATATAAACGAGAAACAAGACGCAAGTCAACCAAGCAAGAAAACACGGGGTTTCCGAAAATAAGCTTGACGCTCTGTGGACCTGTACCTGGCCCAGGGCCAGAAAAGCGCTCCTATGTCATTGAAGAACCATATCTTCAGGACACAGATCTCACGCCGCAGTCATGCGGACCCGCAAGCAAAGAAAAAGCAAACTCCATCCTGGACCGTTCGCTCTGGCGTGGGCCCCCTCCCCCCAGTGTAATAATTCTTGGCAGCGGCATACAACGAAACACGGATGATGATAAGAATTCTGATTGCAACAAGTCTTGATAGCCGCCTAGAAGCTGAAACACAACAGCGGGCAAATACAAAGCCAAACTCCACACTAAAACGCACACGCACACATATACATCACACACACACACCATATGCGTCGCCAAGCCGGGCGTTCGCAACGCAGTACCAAGAGCGAGCTAACCAGGACACCTATCTGACTGACACTGATCACACAAGTTGATCAATGTTGTTCTGGAAAGGCACGGCGTTCCATGCTCTTTCTTGGCTGAGTGGGCCCTATTCATGGCCATGTGATCACGTGAGCATGAAGATTTAAATGTGATTCGTTTTGGAAGGGGGCTCAACCTTGCAAAACAGCCCCATCATTTCCAAACATTCGGTTTTGGAGTGAACAGTTTTCATGGAATCAATGAAAGGCGTCAACACAAGAAGTGGAGCATCATCTCAAGTCATTGCTGAACATTTTCCCGGGAACTGAAAGATATGGGCCAATCTTCGAATTGCAATATGTAGGATAATAATTTAAACAATGCCGAACAAGCTGAAGTCAGCTGCAGTTTCTATGCAGTACAAAGCGCCGTCCTGGCAATCCTCACACATCTTGTTGTCTAGAAGGCTACAAATGCGTGCATATGGATATGTGTGTGTGGCGCAAGACGTTTACCGCAGTGCAAAGGCCGTGTATAAGTTGGTCGTCACACAATGTGACACACGGGCCTGTCGACCTTGTTGAAGGCCATCTCATAGAGCAGCCGCTTTGACCTTGCAGTGAATGACACAACTTAGCAGCCTTTCCATTACATCATCATCCATTGGGTATAGAAGCTCTCGAGCAACAGAGGTATCAACCTTTCTTGACTCTCACCGTTGCCATGATGCACAGACATGACCTTTCACAGCTATGCGATGATTGCGAAGGAGGGATATGAGGCGCAGTCGACATCCGAAAGGTCTTGGAGGGCGATTCAGCAAACATGATGTCTTCTCGCAAGACCTGGACCCATGTTCAGAAAGCAGGAATCAAAATCGATCATCTACTATTGTGTTTAAGCTGGCCTTGCAAGTGCCTTATGGGGAGAATAGCCAGGCATCCAAGAAGCAATGTGGGTACCTGCTGGAGACCATCTGGAAACAATTTCTGTCCTGCTCAGACACCACAGTGTCACACGAGGAAACCAATCCCGGAGTTCTTGGGCTGCTCTCGCTGCAAGCAGGGAGGAACGATGCTCATGCTTCCAAACAGTGCTGTGAAGGCAGGAAGCAAGTGCTACAGTCTAAGAACAAATACGAAACAAGTAAGTAAACGACCCCAATTTTGCTTGGTCGGTCGCTTCTTGCGGGTACGCACTCGCTCCCCGCATCTTGCCCGAGACTCATAAATCAGTCTGTCTGCGAGTGGGATGGAAAAACAAGCAATACAACTGGTCCAAGCTAAACCGGAGAGATGTAGCTGTTCCAAACATGATCAACCATGTGTGTGGCCAAAGGTTGGCCCGCTTCAAATGCTAGGATTACACGCTTGAGTAATCAAAGCCATCCAATTGTCAACGGGGTCACGAACCTTTGAAAGCACCTGTGCAAAGAAGAACGACTATTTCCCTGCTTGCAGACCGAATCATACAGTTCATGAGAAACCGCAGCGCTTCATCACCAAGTGCTTGCTCGCACACATGGCGTGAGTGGCTGCTTGCCTACTTGTGAGACAAGTCACCTTGCAGAAAGCAGCATCACTTAAGGTTGGTGGGCAATGCACGTTCAACCAGCTCATGTGAAGCCATCCGGCAAGGCGAAACGCTGAATCAGCACGTGGCAACAAAATGAGAAAAACAAACTGATGCAGTGTCATCTCAAAAGCTGCTGTGCAGTAGACAACCTGGTTTGGGTCTAATCTAGACATTCAATGGTATCTGCAAGGAGCCCCATGCGTGGGTCTCTGATGCCAATTCAAGTTCGGCTCCATAATATGTCAATGCAGCTCAAGCGAATTCCCCTTGCTTTGCTGCTAGCATCGAAAGGAGCCTATTCGGACTCCTTGCCCTCCCCCGCCTTGGATGAAACTCATCCCTGTAGGGGAAGTAGTCATGCCTCGCCTGGCGTCTCATGTTCAAAGAGTGCACGCAACATGTCCCAAGTCCACCGCTTTGTGTCTGCCAAACAAGAACAAATGTGTATATATAAATATATGTATATATACATCTATGTAAATGTATTCCTATATACGCACATATATATATATAACACATATATATATATATATACATTGTCAAATCTTTGCATCGAGTGCCTGATCCTCACAAACCTCGCCCGCCCGACCTGGCGCGATTCGAAATTCGCAGCCAATCGCCTGCTGAGCTTCAGCCTGGTGCTGCTTGTAGTGGCTCACTCCGCCTGACCGGGGTCAGGTATAGTTGAGCCGAGTGTTGCAAGGGACACATGATCCGGAGGGTCAGGCAATTGACCTATATGTTTCAGCAGCCATGTGGTCCATGTGTTGCGCCCTCCGCTCTTGCGGATCTCTTATTAAAATACACATACAACACTTGGATAAATGATGCTTGAGGGAGTTGTCCAAAAGTCCTTGTTCCAGCAGCGGAAATATGTGCAAACAAACAGTACTCTTGCGCAAAGCGCATCGCGAAGCCTTCGCATTGCGGGCCCCCTTCAGGAGTAAGGAGATATGGTGTTCGTTTTGTTTCTGAAAAAAACACATTCTGATAGGGTGCTAAGGGGGAGGGGTCAGGGGCGGAGCGGTCAAATCAAGGAAGAAAGCATCAACCATGCACTGTTGCTCGGCGCTGCTTTGTAACACTTGGTGAGGGCTAGTAAGCCTGAATAAGCGTTAGTAAGCCTTAGTGAGCCTTAGTGAGCCTTAGTGAGTGCATTTGAGCAAGATTGTTGTTTGAACCCATTAGTGAGCTCAGCAAAGACTTTGCCATGATGTTCAGGCTCAGCAAAGAAAAATGGCCACGTTTGTGCGTGTTTTGAGCCTTGCTGAGTGGTTTTGAGCGCTACTGAGCGCTACTGAGTCCTAGTGAGTTCTAGTGAGGGCTACTGAGTGCTACTGAGAACTGCTGAGTGCTACCGAGCGCGCGCGCGTTTCGATTGCGTGCTTTGGACAGGGAATTGGGCAAAACACCGTGATTTGCTCAATTTGACCCCTCCCCCCCTGACCCCTCCCCCTTAGCACCCTATCACATTCATGCTTGACCGGAACGGCCAGCTCTACATACTGCATGCCGCAACTTGGTAGGAATGCCCAATACCAAGGCTGTGCCCTTTGTGAAAGAGCAGTCCAGAGTTTTGATGATCTTTAATTTGGACTGCCTAGGTAGGGAAATCCCTGTATGTTGAAATACAAAGAGCCATGCTGAGCAGCGCGCTAAAGTTCCTCTCCGGGATGGGCCGCATCTGGACCAGCTCCGCCGCCGGGATGTACTTCCGGCCTGTGAACATGGTACAGTTCAATTCTGCACCGTGCGTAAAAAGTCATAGTGTACCTCATTCAATATGTTGGTACACTCCAGGGATTGAGTATCATGCTGCCTTTACATATTTCTGAGGACACACTGCTGCGAAAGGGGACTGCCTGGAATTTCTCGAGCTTGACCAGTTTTGCAGTGACCATCAGAGATGCTCAATCACACAAGATTTAGCTAGTGCTCCGTTTCCAAGGCTGCCCCTGGCTAAAGAAATGCTCTGCCTCTCACACTTGACTCCGATTCAATTGGTAACAGGGATATAGACAATGGTGCTAGTAGTGAGGGGGCAAAACACACAGGAATCTTCATGGCATCCTCTACAATAATTCGAAAGCCTTCAGACAAGGGCATCACCCTGCGAGTCTTTCAGCAGACGAACCTCTCAACAGGACATCTTTAACCTGTGCCGCACTGGCGTCTAGGTTTCAGCCGCTAGGAATAGAGCGTAATCGCAGGGCATTTGCGTTTGGGTGTTGAGGGCTGACGGTGGGGTTCAGGATTTTAGGGGCCATTGAGGTTTCAAGTTGAATACGCATCACCTGTGTATGATTGGGTAAACTTGCGCGCTAATCTTCTTCTCTGAAAGCCTATTCATGAAGGCATGGAAGTTCGTGCATCAGAGTGGTCATGTCTCACCAGCAGGCAGGTGAAGCATTCACATACCATGTGGTTTGGCTTTTGGCTCAAGGCAAAGGCGCAAGTTGGTGGCGGTACACTTTAGATTGAAGAAATTTAGTTAGCTTGCCCTCGTGATTCACGCATTTACTGGATGTGGCTCCCGATTCGAGACATGAGATCCCGAAAAGCCACGCTCACTGTTTCCATTGCGTCGGAAAGGGTTAAAAACAACTGAACAAAGCAGCAAATGTCCGGCCGTTCACCGGGCTATGTATACACTCCATAGCTTGTGAAGTAACAGTCAGTCAATAAGTCCTGAAACGGCACTCAATCATTGCAGCAACCGGATTGACCTCATGTCTAGGCCAAATAAGCAACGACGAGTGCCACGTTCTTCACTATGCCATGCCTGAGGCCTGAGAAGGTGTCGGCGCGGCAGGATCTGGATAATCCTCACCTAAAGCGTCCGGTTCAGTCAATCTTGCGAACCCCCGTGTGGCACAGGCCAAACATTGAAAACCGCTGCAGGCACTGCACGAAGCTCTGTCCCAAGTCGAAAGGCAAAAACTGCCCGCAAACTTCCCTTTTTCCTGGCGCGGCCAAAACACACACACAAAAAAGAAATCCCTCACAGCCAAATGAGTGGTG